TTGTGGAATTATGGAATGGCTTGGCTTGGAAGGGACCTTGAGGATCATCCCATCCCATCTCCTCATTCCAAACCCCCTCATCCCTTGTTCCCCTGATTTCCCTTCCAACAGGGCTGTGGGACTGTCACCAGAGCTCAAGGGAAAATGTTTAACTCCCCTGACACAGTGTAAGTTCAAGATACAGCCCCAAAACACCAAGGGGCTGCAGGTCTCATCCTTACAGAACACCTGACAGCTTCTCCACGACATCCCAAATGTGTGGTGTGGCTGGAAAAGATCCCTGCTCCTCCTCTGAGGGGTTGGGAGTAGCTGGACTCATTCAGGTTATGGCTCTCCAGTGAGATTGGCAAGGGCTTCCAGGGAGGCAGGAAAACCCTGGATCCTGTACATCCCTGTTTGCCCTTTCCATGCACTCTCTGTCCCTGGCTGTTCTGCTGTCCCTGCCCTGCCCCAGCTCTGTTCTCCTCCTGCCTTTCTCCTCATTTCCCCCCTCCACCACCCTCCTTTTCATTTTCCAGCAGTGCCTGTCCCCAATATCCCACATGACCCTAAGCTGATCTCAGCCAGTGCTGACAACACCAAACTTATGGGATCAACCCCTGTCAGGGCCATTCCCTCAATCCTTGTGGGTCCCTTCCACCCCAGAACATCCCACCAGCACCTGGAAACCAAGACCCTACAGCGCCCTGTGTCATTTGTTGGCCACAAGAACCCAGGACTGGGACCAAGGACTAGGATCAAGGACCTACCAAGGACTAGGACCAAGGACTGGGACCAAGGACAAGGACCAAGGACTAGGATCAAGGACCTACCAAGGGCTAGGATCAAGGACNCCCCACGTGCTGCTGGTGGCCCAGTTGGCACAGGGGGAGCTGCGGAGGCTGGACTGGGAGAGAAGGGAGGTGTGGGAATCCGTGAATTCGGAGGGTTTTGGGAAAGGTGAGAAAGGCAGGCCTCACAAAGGGGCACCATTTGTGGCTGCCTGGGGGCTATGTACAAATCACCAGTGGGATGGGACTGCTGGGAACGTGCCTTGAGCTGTTGTATTTTCCAGCATCAGTCTCATTCCATGGTTATGACAACGGGAAGATGTCAGCAGCTCACATCCCAGGCAGCAGACAAAGAGCTTAATGCTACAACTCTAAAAAGTTTTTTGACCAATCACACAAAGCAAAAATACATTGACAGTAGTTCCATCCAACCACTATAAGCACATGTACCTTTGGTTAAAACAATGCTTGCTCATTTCAAATACCTGCTGTAAGCCTTGAAACACAATGCACAGAGCTCCATTATTAAGCTTAGAACTCCCTAATATCTCACTAGATAAACTTTTCTGTAGCTTAGGGAGTTATTCTAGACAAGTGTTAATACACAAACCATTGTTCTATTTGTCTTTACTCTTCTACTTCTTATATAATTTCTCTGCTGACAAATCTCATGGCTGCTGCTTAGCTCTAATCACCGTTCTGCTGTTTCTGAGGCCTGCCTTTTGCAGCTTTCCCAAAACCCTCTGATTTTATAGATTCCCACAGGAGGGAGGGAGGGCTTGTTTGCCCCCAAAGGATTGGGGAGTTCTGCCCAGATTGGTGAAAGTCACGGCCTCCCCTTCCCACCTAGTGGTTCAGGTTGTTGATTTGAGGTTTCTTGGTTAATGTACTAATTAATGTGGTGGGTTTACCTGCTTCCAAAGCAAAAGAAAAAGAGGGAAGTTCCCAACATCTATATGTTTTCACTTGTGTGTTCATAAAGGCATGTCAGTTCAACAGACTGTTAATTCTCAAAGATAATTACTGATAAATTTTTTGTCAAACACAAAAGAAACTGCTAGCAGATTCTGTCAAAACACCACTGCCATGGTGCAAAACCAACACAGCACCACTCCAATTCCGTCCTTGAGATGGGAGCACCCAGCCAGGGCCACACTGAACCTGGACCACACCTGGAGCACAGCCTCCAACTCTCCATCCTGGTGACTCCCTGGCAACACCAATGCTCCATAAAAATGAACCCAAAGACATCAATAAGTGGTATTTTGTTGAACTTTGCTCATGTTCTGGTAGTTTCAGCGCACAACTTCCCTGCCTTCCAAAGGGAACATGAGTCACCCAAATGCCTGGTGGGAATTGTGCCCCTATTTCCATCACTTTCCTCCCATTTGCCATGAGAGGAAGTGGAGTGAATGTTCCTCCTCCACAAATTTCAGTGCCTGTCTGCACACTTGGGCAGGTACAGGCAATTCCCAGGATGAGAGAGCTAAAGGTCAGTGCAGAAAAGCCAGGAGGAAAACTCCTTTTCCTTCCACACCCTCCTCCCAGCACAAACCAAGGC